GTAAAATAAACTCCTTTTTATTCATTTTGGTGGGTTTTTATTTTTGACTGGTGATATCAAGGGGAGATACATGTTACCACTTGCACAAATCGGCAAAAAAAACAACCGCTTCGTGTTGAACATAACTTGACGTTTGCGTATCCAAAACTGTATTGCCTAGATATTCATATCGAGTGTTTGTCTTAATGAGATGCTTTATTAAATTTAAATTCAGCCCATCATTTTTAGTTTCCTCGAAAATATTTAGATTTTTCGATCAGGAGCATTGACAATTTTCTCACAAACTTCAAGTTTGAAGATAAAATAAAGAATAAAGGACTTTGAGTTGATGTGTAAGTTTTGACGAGTTAAATGTATGTATATTCAAGATTATTTTGGTCAATAAGTTTTTACCATGACAGTAGTATTTTAGTGAGTAAAAGTGAGGTTTGTCTCATCCGTAGTTTTACTGAATTTTCACGGTCACGTGACTCTATTGTTGCTGATAGACTTGGGGTCAAACCGTGACCTGCTTTCCAACTGAACGTAGTATTTACAAATCGGCCTAAAATCGGCCCGTGGCACAGAATACGTTAAAGTTATGACTGTCCATTCAAAATTCTAATGCAACTATTTTGTATCAATGGTTCTGATTGGATGACAGTAAGCGTAAAATTCTCTATGTCCTTGTCTGTAACTAGGGAAGCCGACATTTTGAATTCCGGAATGTATTGACATGTAATTTCTCCAATAATAAGCAAAAAAAACTTACATTTTGTACCTAAAATTTTCTTTTAATCAAATTTTATTCCATTCTGAAGCGGACAAAAAGCCAGAAAACGCCCGGTGTTTACGTTGGATGCCGGAAGCTTACCTATGAAGTATTGTTACTTTCCTTAAAAGTCCTTATTTATGAAATTTCAGCATTTTACCTTCAAATATGCAAGAGTCGAACCAAATTATCTCAAAAAGTAAGTCATGAAGGTATATTTTGTTTTGCATAATTCAAAAGAACACATCGAAATTGACCTTCTTCCAAAATTTCAAGAAAAAAATCAACGAGGGATCTCTACTGTATCATATGCCCTTAAAAACTATTGAACTGTCTAGATATTTCAAAGAACCATGCTCTACACAAATTGATTTTTTGGGGGGATTTCAATTTAATTTTTCATCATTTTTTTTTGGGGCGAAAACTTTTAGCAAAAAAAAGAATATAGCCAAATATCAGATGCATGGGGATAAGAATCTAGGATTTTTTTGTTATAGCCTCAACGTGGAATTACATTTTGCCAACTTAATACGAGTTCTTTTCGGTTATTATGGAACGGACACTGTAATTTAGATTTACAAAGTTGGGATGTAAGAAGGGAATTAATAAAAAAAATTATGATCATTGAATAGCAAAGAAGAAAAAATCGACAGCAAATAAAAGAACCACTGGTATTATACATCTACTCTAAGATCTCCATTTTTTTTTTATTTTTTAAGGCCTTCTCCTAATTTGAACGAAAGAGATAAGATTTAAGTCATTTGATTAACCCCTGAAACACTGATGCATTTGTTTTATTTTACGTGTTTGTCAAAAGTTACTTAATCATAAACTCACTTTACTATGTTAAGTTTAGGGGTGTGTCTTTTAGTGAACAGTCCTTTCTGCAATACGGAACAGTTATGAATAAAAGGAGATGCAGGGGGTATAAATCAATGAGACAGCAAGCAAACAACAAAACCCCAAATAGACATATAGATGACATTTTTTGGTATTAACGCAATGTGTCATGCCCTAAATAAGTTTTTCCTCAGTCTGGTTAAAATGAAGATCTGTCGTAATTTGCTAACTCCTGTTTATAAACATAACGAAACCAGAGATCTATATTATTTTAAGATGATTGGGTTTTCGTTTAGCAAATGTTGTTGTCTTCTTTATGATCTTACAAGAAAGGGGAGAATATTATATATACAGACAATTTTCAATTTATATTTTGATTGATTGTGGCTTTCTAAACATCTAGTTTGAAACATAATATTTTATTAAAGATTTTTATTTTAAATTTCTTTCGTTTAAATGGGCCATTTAGAATAATATATTCTTCAACAATGGTTACAGTGTGAATGTGCTTTAATATTTAACTAACAGATATAAAAAGGATGAGGAATTAGTATATGTATCCCCCCTTTCTCCTGTAATAGTTATTTAGATTTTGATATATCGTCATGATGTTTTGTTATTGTACAGAAAAAATATATCAGGTTGAAGGCCGTACGGTGACCTACACTTGCTCACTTCTACGCCATTTGATCTCTGGTGGAGAGTTGTCCTGTTGGTATACTATTATATAATAGTCTATAATTTTTTTTTTTCACTACAAAATCATCGGAAAACAATAAACTTTCCCCTCAAATTACACCGATTATGTGTTTGATTTTACTTATTTTGGTTGCTCTTACTTGACCGAGTACCATGATGTCCAAGGTAACCAGTCGACAAATTATATAATACGGAGTCAAAAGTCGGTAATATGAAAATAGTCTTTTAAGTCCACAAGACGCCTGTTTTGTCTGTTTCAAATGAAAAATTGGAAACCAAAATAGTAACAAAATTGAAGAGCATTAAAAAGAAAAAAAAAATAACAAAATGCAAATCAAATTCAAAACATAAAAATGCACTAGTTACGTAGTATACATAAATATACAGCCTGTACTGATTAGTTACTAGTATTTTTTATTTACTCAAATCATAAAGATGCAAACTACTAGTAAATCATATTTTGCAAATTCATTTCATGATTTGTTATTTATATTTGAACTTAATTGCATCTTTGATTCAAATTGTTTTTTTCTTTTTCATAATTCAGCCTCTTCTGATAAAATTTTTTTCAAAATACTACTGTTAGATTTTATACTGAGTGATGTGCTGATTTTGTGAAGAATAAAGAAGAACAAAAGAGTCAATTATGACTTAAATATCTATATTTTGGCCTATACGTAACGTTTATGCTTTTAGAAGTTCGGAAAATGTCATGACATTGAATTTTTGTCGATTATTATTTTATTTTTGTGTGGTCTCACATTTCAAAATTTGAAATGAAAATCTTTGTATATATATATATATATATTTTAACAACAAAACCTTTTTAGAACCAGTTTGACAAATTAAAATATATATATATATATATGTTTAGTCACAGTCTTTATGGTGTTTAAGATTCGGAATTTAAGATTATTCAAAATTATAAATTGTTTAGAATACTTTTATAACACCTTTCATAAATAAGTATACATAATAATGAAGCTTATTCACTCAAGATTTGGACCCTACAAGTTTTATTTATGTACGAGTTACAATTAGACGATACGAGGTAAAAAACCAAGAGGTGTACACGTTCACAAGAAAACGGTAAACTCTGACCTTTTATCACGTGACCAATGTCTTGAAATTAGACGCCATTAAATCGTTTGCCGTTCAACTGAAAAAATAAGATGTTTTATGATTGATTGTCAATGAGACATCCCTAAACCAGAGACCAACTGACATATACTATTTAAAAAACATGTTTTTTGTCAAGCTTATCCATAAATACTAAATATGTCTATTAAAATTGTGTTGGTTATAAATATTTATCAAAATCTTTATTAATTTATTCTTATAAGCATTTTGCAGCCATCAACTACTAAATGAAGACGACGGTGAGTGCCCGATAGTATCCCCGAGGAACCAGTAATGACGCACCTAAGGTTGTTTTGTCTCTGCATTTAATCTACCATTTAAAAGAATTAGAAAAACGGAATGGAATAAAAGATTGGTAACTTGTTATTATATTTCAATCATTAAACAGTTGATATTTGAAACAGTAATAGCAATAAAATTCATGTTTGCTAACATTACAAACGGACTGCCAACTAATGATGGGTACCAGTAATGACGCACTGTAAACAAACCAGTAAAAACCACTTGCACGTAACTGATAATCGAAAAATTGCTTCAATCCGGATTCTTTAAAATTAAAACTGTTCAACAGATTCAATTTTATTAACAACTTTTGATATTTTCATTCACTTTAATGATCATAATGATTGTAACACCAAATTTTTAATCAATTTAAATGTAACCTATATTTTGGTATATAATTGTTCAAAATTTAAGAAAGTGATATACATATTCCATATATTTGAAAATAAAAAGTAATTGCATTCATTAAACAACATTGACAATAATACATTTATCAATGTATACTTCATACATTGAATGAAAAAAAATCAATAAACCATAGAAAATTATATAAGCGACGATCATTTGTTCTACAGTGATTCCCGCTTAAATGTAAAACCATGTCACATGACAGTCACGTGATTTGAAAAACACAAAATGGGGAAGCATACGGTTACCTACTTTTCTTGACCAAAGTGGAGATAGGACTGATAATCTTTCGGGGAAGGGTAGAATTTTTTTGACCTTAATAAAATGGCGGAAATTGCATTGTCTTTAATATTTTAAGCAATAATAACATTTCTGGGCAGAGTTTTAGGCATCTTTGTTGTAGTCAGATGACCTTCAACATCATGTTATGTACAGCAAATGTTGATGACGTCACGGCTTTTGTTTAGAAATATAAAACCGTTAACTAAATCGGTGCGTCATTTCTGGTCCGCGTCAAAACAGGTACCAAGACGATAATTTATGACATAATATCTGACTTCATTTAGATGAATTTCGTTGACGTCACGAAACGCCAAACCCTTAGTACAAAACTTGTCAATATTCTTAATTTTCATAAAATCTTCTGTTTGTAATGTATGGTTTCACCCTCAGGTTTTGTGTAATGCGTGTCCAAAATACACCTTATCGCTATTTGTCCGCCATTACTTGACATCACACAAGTTCCCGTAAAATTTTGACGTAATAATAGAAAATATCTGACGCCACAATGGAAAAGTGATTGTTGTATGACGTCAAAAGTTCGAGCGGGACTGATTCTCGGGTCAAGCGGGATTAGCGATAAGGTGTATATTCTACTTACCTTGAACTTTCTTGAAATGGCATACCGCTTCACAGTAATAGACGGTCAAAATATACACCAAGAAAACTAGTTTGACAATATTCCTCATATTAATACCTCTGTATAACAGCTGATGTTATGTAGTAATAAGTCGTTAACTCGCCTTTTGCTGCCAAAGGGACGGTTTCTACACACAAAACTTGCTGATTGTTTAGAGCGTCAAAGATTCATGGTGACGTCACAATACAGAGGAGCACTGAACAACGTCAAAATACGGCACCAAAAGGACGATTTTGGCAGGAATGAAGCAAACTGAATTTAATGCATTATTTTTATACTTAAAACTGATGTCAACAAATGATACAGGATCATAAGCTTGTTAGTATTATAGTACCAACTCAATTAACGTGTTTACTAGTTATGAAGTTCGACATTTTCATGCAAAATGTCGCAAACTTTCGAGAAATTTGTTAAAACTTTTATTCATATATCTTTTAATCAGTATATGGGTCATTTTCAAAAAATGTCGAATTTTCAGTACACCCATGCTAAAAATTTTTATTTCTAATGGGAAATGCATTTGTAAGTGTTTAAATGAAAGTTTGTAAGATTTATGAGTCAGAACATTAATAATAAACACGATTTAATCTATTTTGATAAGATTAAAATATATTTAAGTCCTATTTTTGCGTAAGGGGACGACCATTTGATACTCTGGTGGGGGCCAGGAGGATTTGTTTTGGATTGGTTATTTTTTTTTGTGAACTAGAAGAAGAGATTATCTATTTTCTGCACTATTGAAGCATGATTTTTCATTTTCATTAAAACAAGGGACTGATTATTTATTTTCAAAATCATATTTATAATATTTGAAAACACAATTTTTAAATTATTTTTTTTTAATTCCTAAATAGATAATACATGTATAGTCAAATCATTATGTACCATTAAATCAGAATTAATCCTCCTCCTCTTTTAAAAGTTATGTCCAACATATTTGCCGAGCGGAGCGAATCGGTGAAGGTTTTGGGAGCCGCTGAAGATATAGAAAAATGATGCAAAATCTTGCTTTCTCTGCGTTTCCCAGATCCTTTCGTAATCTGAAACGCAAGTTCTGTTAATTATTTTTTCAACAATGTTTTGGTCACACAGCAAAATATATAGATTCAGTGTAAGACTTTTAGTTTTTTATGGGACAACATCAAAAAACCAATATGTAGGATAAAGCAAAAAGTGTAATTCACAAACTTAAGTATGTGGCTGCTTGTTTTTTTTTCTTCTCAGTGTTTTGGCTTGCAGATAATCTTTTTAATATACCTGTCAATTATGTGTGTTTTTTTTTCTCAAATTAAGTTAAGAGGGGCTGCTTATCATTGCTATAACAATGTCAAGTAAATTTTTATAACACATTTCAATTACAACTTGATGAACTTCCTAACTGAGATACAATTTGAAATACATGTAGTTTGTAAAATTAGATAAAAAGTCCTTAAATAAAATAAAACTCAAGTTTTAAAAAAATTACTAAATTACGAATGGAATGTAACACTAAGTGAATAAAGAAGGGCAATAAATGAACAAAAGACAAACCCTGGAAAAGATAAAACAACAAACAACATTATAGACAAATAACACTGAAAACTAAAATTAAATGAGAAATATGGATCCCGAAAAACGGGGGCTATGTCAGAGGGTAAACAGAACTTGCTTCTTGCAAGGCGTTTGAAGTAAAAACAAATTGATATGAAGACAAGCTTTTGTTTTTGAAATTTCCTACCTGAGGCATTTGCCTCAATTTATAGTTACAGCCCTATACTGAAAGTGAGGTAAATGTTCCTAAGATAATATACATCTAGTTAAATGAAACCCGTTTTCAGACATTTCAAGTACATTAATATTTATATAATGTATTATAAAAAAATTTGGTAAGTTCCCGAAAAAAAATAGGAAAAAAGACGAATTTTGGAAGAATCTTGTGCGATTTCTTACTTTAGAATAACATTTATAAAATGGCTTAAAAGACATGCCGAGTTATTTATTTTCAAACTACCACAGAACAAACCATTCATTTTTGTTATTATCAAGGCTGAGTTATTTATTTTCAAAATCCTCCTGCCCCCCCCCCCCCCCCCCACCAGAATATCAAATGGTCGTCCCCTAATTTATGTGCGTACAGTGTCCGAGTAACACATTTCAAATGATTTTTTTCCGATTTTCTGATCGCCTTGATATCTGCAAAAGGGACTTTTTAAGAACGTAAATGATAACTCTAACGAAAAATCGTAGCTTCTTTATTATTATATGTAAAAAAAAATTCTACAAACTAAATTCAATCGTCCTCAGTCCATATGCTTCTCTTAGGTCGATATAACCTCGTATCGACCTCACACAAAGGCTATAATTGTATAATATCACTAACGTACATTCCTGTTACCAATAAAATAAAGACAAAAGTAAACCAACGTGCGAGGGATTTACTTGATGTTGGGTTTATTTGAAAGAAAGAACAATTGCTGAACATTATGAATTGCTATCTTAGACTTGCATTACTGGTGGTTATTTTTATAACCTTTGTAAACCAATTTTTAGAGGCATTTTTCAGTACAACATGGAAAATTGGCAAATAATCTATTATTTCACAGAATGAATATATATAGAAGTTTTTACTATTGAAAACCATCTTATTGGCTACGAAAAACAAGCTTAAAATTTTATCTAAACCTTTTCTAAATAACCCGAAATTTCGTTTGAACATGGTAACAGGAGAGACAAAATATTGCACCACCCATCAAAAATGTTTCAATATATTCTTGTATGACATTATCAAGATTGCACCATTTTATATGTTGTTCTATAAGTATACTGTTTGTTTTGATTTGCTAATGACGAGGGTTGTTTGAATAAGTAACTTTAAATCAATTTTGCAATTTCAAAATTCGACATTTTTTGAAAATGACCGTGACCCATATCGTAATTAATATTATTAAATATTATAATCGCAATCCTTATAAATAATCACAGTTAAGAGAACTGGAAAATATTTGTAGGGCTCAAATGCCGCGATTGACTTCTTAAGTATTTTTTGTAAAGGTACACAAATGTAACACGATATACTTGTATTGTGATATGATATTTCAATACATTTCAGACCTGTTTCATCATGAAGGCAATAATCTAACAATATTTATTTTCATTCGAAATGGGGATGGTTAATTAATAGGTGACCCAACGATTTCTCTTCCTATCCAACGTATCATCCTTTCCCAGTGGCAATCTCATTTTTCAGACATTAATCTCAGATATTTTACTTTTTACTTTATAGGACCTACTGAGCATCAGATTTATTGTTCATTAGATCTCAGCCGTCCTTAATATTGCATGAAATATTATACCTGCCACTGAACGTTGAACAATTTATCAATGAACGAATTTTAAAAGATATTTCATGTATGCCAATTCAATTACAATGTGTATTTCATCATAGAAAATGGAAATAAAAATATAATATTTTCAAGTCATGAATAATAATTGATTCAGGTTCACGTGTAAACAACAGCAATTAATTTTAGAATTTCTACACTAATTTTTCTGTTTATCAAATTCATATTTCAAACATTTTTCTATAAAATTTTGTGCAATAATTGGTCAACAGAATAATAATAAACATGATTAAGAAATAAACAAAATGAATATGGATAATAACGTTTAAAAATTCTTTCATCGCCTACCGAAACAAGGCTTGGAATGAAAAATGTAATCTGACACATATAATACTTTACAACACGAAGTCGGCTGCTCGGTGTTTTATTTATTTTTATTTGTGACGGCGTGCACAAAGTTGAAGGCACCTCAGTGTAAAAGGTGCTTTTAAAATTAGTTTTATACAACCGTGTTTAAAATATCTTTTAAATAGGAAGTTTTTTTATGATAAAATGTTGAATGCTAGCCATTAAAATCCACATTACTAATAAGGTTATCAAAATTAAATCTATAAAGTATGAAACGAACATATAGAGAAAACGGCAAAAATATGTGAAACTTGTAACATTAAATAAGCATAAAATAGAGTTTTTGACCTAAAATTTATACAAATTCAACATATTTTCCCGCATTTTCGTATAATAGAATTTTTCGGATTCGGACTATGACGTCATACGAAATTCACTGTAAAAAAATTAAAAAGCGGCCATGGAGGATGAGTTTGGAATGTAGTTCGTTATGTGTAAGAAGTAGTAATTTGGAAGTATTAATATTCGAAAATGGAAGAATCGGTAAGAAAAATATTTAATTGCTATTTTTTTATTTCAAAATAACTTAATGTTCCAAATGTGCATAACAAGAGGTTTAAAAAGATCTGCAAAATATGAATGATTCGATAGTCCAGGCTGAACACCTGAATTTTTTCAATGTCCAGCTATTATGTTACAATTTAAAGAAATGACGTTTTAACGCTATTTTCTGAATAGGGTTCACGACATAGTCGCTTATTATTTCCATTACACTGCTCTTAGCATATATTTATTTATATTTCCAGAATGTGCATATGCTGTACTTTGTTGTTAAAAAAAAAGAAATATGTTGAACGTTTATGTTTACAGATATGTGTCCAGTGTTTTTGTTACACGTTTGTTTTCTGGTGAAAAATGCCGACGTCGTAAATGATTGAAGTAATTTGAAGACGTTACGTTTGTTGACTCAGTTTTATGCACGCCGTCTTGTATATGCCTATTCTTATTGGGTGCCGTTGTTTTGTTTATACAATTTTTTGAGAGATGCTTTACGGTATTTATCATTTATAACTAAGCTAATCAGATAACAAGGATAAATATATTCTAGTATTTCAGAGGTGGTTAATAATCAGCTATGCATATTACTTGACAAAGATAAAAAAAAAGCGCTTGTAAAATTAATAGCAATGAGTATATTATCTTCATTTTTTAACAATAAGAATAATAAAAAAAAAACTATATTTCAAGTTAAAAGTTGTATTTTGAAATAATGTTATATTAAAAACATAGTTTATAACAAACTTAAGAGCAATCATTTTTATAAAATTACTTTTACGTCGCTTTTTCTAATTACGGCTAAATTGACGCGGGAAAAATTATGGACAGCGGGAAAGCGCTGTTATACAGAGAGGCACAAGTTTCGCAACGTCACATATAAGAGACGTCAAGTTGCTTTTTGGCGCGAAATACAAGCGGGAAGCCACTGACGCAGGAGAGTTCCTT